CTCGCAACGATACATATAGATATAACAAAATCATTTCATAATTTCATAATTTTTTTTATTATTTTTGTATTTCATTATAAATATTTTTTTGTGTGCCTTTCATAAACCTTCTACTTAAAAAACATGATTTATTCTTCTTTATTTAGGGATTCTTAAATAAAAATTTGTAATAACTTAAACCTGAAATATTAATTAAGAATTCAAAAATAAATACTTTAAAATTATTTTTTTATAAGAATATATCCAAAAAAAATAAATTTACTATTAATGTATATACTTGCATAAAAATTAACCAATAAAAAAATAAAATTTTATTCTTATTTAATGTCGGTGAGAAGATTTTTTTTTCAAGTATATGTATTTAATCTATATATATTTATTTACCAAGTAATAAATAAAATTAGCATAAAAAATTATATTTGAATAATTGGTTGGTTGCTTTAAAATTTTATTTTAATTATTTTATTTCAAATAAATTGGTTCTATGATGTTAAAAAAATATTCATAGTAAATAATTTGTATTATGTTGGAAGATGTATAGTTAATTTTTAATATAAAAATAAAAATAAAAATTAACTTTATATGAATTTTTTATAATAAATTAAGAAGATCAATTTTAAACAATAAGAATAGTATATATTTATTCTAAAATCTAAGAATATATCGTACATATTATATAATCGTCAGTTTATGTGAAAAAATAATTATGTTGGAAGATGTATAGTTAATTTTTAAAATAAAAATAAGAATAAAAGTTAACTTGAAGTGAATTTTTTTAATAAATAGAAAATATCAATTTTAAGCAATAATAATAGTATATATTTACTCTAAAATCTAAAAATATATCGTATAAATTATATAATGGTCAGTTTATGTGAAAAAATAACGATTGATTTTTTTAAATTTTAACACCTAGTTAAATAAAAAAAAGAATATAAATTAATGAAAAAATCAAATAAAAAAAGTATGTGTAATGCATCGGTTAAGGGTTTAAATTTTTTATTTTAAAATCATAGAGACCAAAATGAAATAATTTAGAAATTATAAAAAGAAACCGGTGAATACACACACATCTTTTAGAGATACAAGAATATAACCATGAATGGAGATTCCATTAATTGGAATTTATTTTCTTTTTATATAAATCAGTTATTGACAGGTACTCCACACATGTATTATTTAACTAATTACTATATATATATATTTATATAATTTCTAATAAGTTGTTTATAGTTATTTATAAATAAATAAATATCATTGATTTTCAAATAATTTAATATAATTTTTGATAAAATTATGATTAAATATATTTTTTTAAGTTTTTGACCATATTGAATAATTTTAACTGAACTTAAGAAAAAACAATGGGGACATAAATTGAATTATTTTTCAAAATTTAATAATTATTAGTTAGGATAAACATATTTATCTCTTAAAAATAATTATTAAAAAATTTTCACCTGCCATTATTTTTTTAAAAATTATTTTTCAATATTTAATAATTATTAGTTAGGATAAATACATTAACTCTTAAAAAATAATTACTAATTCTTTTCACTTACCATTATATTATTGTGAAACCTTTTTATTTTAAAAAATTGTTTTTAATTATATATAAGGTGATTATAAAGTAAAAATTTTATAAATAATTTTTTATTAATCTTGCGTCTTTTCAATATTATCAATGTTTGTTCAAAAATGTAAAAGATATAATATTAGACAGTTGAAAAAAAAAGCATATAAAAAATTAACCAAGGATTTAATTTAATAACTTGATGAATTTTGGTGTAATTTAATTATTTTTAAGATTTTAATATTTTATGTCTTTTATTAGCTTGTTTTTAAGTCTTTTTAGAGTTTGACGAGTACTTTTAATAACCTCTTCATTTTGCAGTTTTTGTTTGTTTTTTCCGTTTCCACAACCAAAGGCTAGAAAGTAGAAACCCTATTCTGGAGCCTTTTGGTTTTTCCAATAATTATTTATAATTTTTTGTACATTGGTTTTCCATTAATAATTTATAAATTTTTTATTTTAATGCATGAAAATATACAAAAAAAAAATAGTAAATAATTTTTTATCATATAAATTCCTTCTTTTTTTTTGTTTTTGTGAAATTTAACTTAGAATATGTGTGCTTTTTAAGAATTTCGATATAAATACACTTTCAACCACACCTTAATCAAACACTTATATATTTTTTCTCTTACAGCTTCAAGCTGCTGAAGCAAACTTGCACGTGAATGCTTTTTAACCAGCCTTGTGAGTTTACTTGTAAATTTTAGTTTTGAAGGCTAAAAAAAAAAAAAAAAAACTGCCATTAAAATATAGGACGATCACAAAAAGTTATCTTGACCTTTTTGGCCGGGACATCAGCGCTTTCAGATTCTTTTTATAGCTATCACGAGAAAGAAAAAAAGAATGATGCACAATAAATTCACATTCCGAACTAGATTTTTCATTCGTGTTACGTTGTGGGTTGGATAAAATATATATAATTATTTAAAAAAATTATTTTAGTTTAATAATATGTTTTATGATAAGAAATAATTATAATTTTTTAATTAAAATTTTTATATTTAACTATTTTTTATTTATGTTTTTAAATTTTAGAAATAAATAATAAAGGAAATAAATTATTGATTTCTTTAAAATTTTAACACCCAATTAATTATTGGTTCTTTTAAAATTTTAACACCCAACATTATTAAGAAAAAAATTAAAAAAAAAGAGTTCAATTTTTAGAAAAAAAAAAAAGAAAGGGCCAGCATTTACTTGTTCATATGAACAAGTAAATGGACTGAAATTAAAAAAAAAAATCAGTGTTTAGAAAGAAAAAAAGAAAGGGGGAGCCGTTCATCGTTCAAACAAACCATAAACGGGAAAGAAAAGGGGGAAAAGGCTATCAAAGTTAGCTACCGAGGATCACACAAAGCACATTGCTATTGCAGAAGTTTGTGATCTGCAGGAATTGTGCTTATACCATGTTCCACGAAAGATTAACCACGTGGATGCCGACTCTCCATAACGACTAAGTTAGTCACGTGGGTGCCAACTCATTCAACAACAATTTGTTATTAATTGGTTAATGGTTGTTAAGAGTTAGTTTAAGTCTCGTTAGTCAAGTAGTTAGTCAATTAGCTTAACCTTCAGCAGATAGCATATATAAATGGGTGTGTTCTGCAGGCTAAGAGAGAGAGAGAAAAAAAACCATATGTTCTAATTGTGAGTGCCTTGAATCAATCTCGATTGTAGTTGTTTTTCTCTTATGGAATAAAAGAAGTAGCCCATTTCTTTCATGGTATCGAGCACGTTGGCTCAATTTAGGTTTTCACGATACTCTTCTTAATTCAACTATTTTCCTTTGAGTTTCAAGCTTAACTGGTGCATCAATGGCGTCGGTTGCTTCAACGATTTCCACAAAAGATCCTCGGTCACCCTTCTATCTTCATCATACCGATAATCACAAGATCGTGATTGTTTCGCCTCAACTTACCTCTAGTAATTACGCCACATGGAGTCGATCATTCTTGTTGGCTTTGTCAATTCGTAATAAGATCGGCTTCATCGATGGTTCAATCATTGCTCCCGACGAGAGATGATGTGTTGTTTGGATCGTGGTTAAGATGCAACAATCCGATTATTTCTTGGTCGCTTAGATCAATTTCTCCACCGATTGCAGTCTACTATCTTTTATATGGATTCGAAGCATCGGAGATATGGAGAGTGCTCGAAGAAACGTTTTTCACAAGTAGATGACTCCAAGGTATGTAATCTACAACACACTCGAGTTCAATTAGTCGTGGAAATTGTAGCATTGATGAATATTTCACCGAGTTGAACTCTGTCCGGGAAGAATTAAGGAACTACGGACCAATGCCATATTGTGAGTGTAGTAAATGCAATGTAGAATGCTTCAAGAAATATATAGATTTGCATCAAAAGGATCGTGTGTTTCACTTTTTTGAATGGACTCAATGAGTCATATGCACCCTCGCGGTCTCATGTTATCATGATGAAACCATTTCCTTCTCTGGATGAGGTATACAACTTGGTGATCAAAGAAGAATCTCGAAATGTATGCATGTTCAGCAAGCCTCTTCTATGGAAGCCTCTGCTACGGCGAGTTAGGGGCATTTTGTAATATCGATCTAAAAATGCACTTGTTTGTTCACATTGTGGGAAGCCGAGTCACACTAAAGACGAGTGTTTTCGGTTGATTGGATTTCCAAATAATCCAAGGTCCGGAAAAGAAAGAATGACCTCACCTACTATCGGATCGGACTTTTCTAGAGGGAAAGTTATTTACTCATGAGCCAATTTTGTTATTAAGTAGAATGATGAAGGTGTATCCTCCTCTCGCTAACAAAACGGAATTCCACTATAATACTTCACTCGGATGGTGTGGACAAAGGAACAACATCACGAGCTTTGTTTACTCAACATCAAATTCAACATTTGGTAGCTCTCCTCAATGAGCATAATTCTTCGACTAATAACTCTTCTCATGTTCCCAATAATGCATGTATTAGTCCCTTACACTTTTCATGTACACAAATGACACGTTCGTCACACATTCCTTGAATAAGCATCTCCGGATCATTGATACATATGCATCGGATCATATAGCATGTAGCCTAAGTTTTTTTTACTTCTTTTCATACTATTAATCGAACCTTTATGATAATGCGGATGGATCTAAAGTGTTTGCTACCCATTCCGGTACGGTGTCCTTGCCTCATTTGTTTGTCCTCTCTAATGTTCTATTTGTTCCCTCCTTTAAATTTAACTCTGGTTTCCGTCGATCGGTGACATCCACCAAAGAAATTATTGTTAATTTCGGTAATGATTCTTGCTTCATTTAGGCGGTTCCTTCATGGAAAGTGATTGGACTTGCTAAGGCCAATGGTGGTCTTTACTTGCTGCAACGAACCTATCGCTCCTCATCGATCAACCAATAGTCAAGTTTCATGTTCAAATCATCATTCGCTCTTTGCAAATAATGTCGATCCCGTACTCAATGTCGGAGATTGCTTTGATTTACGGCATTTTAGGTTAGGACACCTATCATCCGAAAACCGAAAATCATTCATCAACATTGTAACGAAGTTCACTCTTTTTTAACTCAAATAAAGTTCCTTGTGTTGTTTGTCCTATGGCTAAACACAAACGTCTTACTTATCTTGTTCATGTACAAAATAGCACTTTTCCATTCCAATTGATACACACGGATATCCGGGGTCTTATTCACAAACTTTCTATGGAAAATTTTAATATTTTTTAACTATTGTTGATGATTTCACTCATATTAATTGGGTTTTTCTTATGAAACACAAGTCGGATGTTAGTTCCATTATCCCTAATTTCTTCCATATGATTCACACTCGGTTTGGTTTTGATGTCAAACAACTTAGGTCGGATAATGGTCCGAATTTCATTTGCCTCTGTTTTATTCCGAAAAAGGGAATTGTTCACTAGACCTCTTGCGTAGAAACTCCTCGACAAAATAGTGTTGTTGAGAGGAAACACCAACACTTGCTTTCTACTCGCTAGAGCCTTACTTTTTCAGTCTCACTTACCTACATCCTTCTAGGGAGATGCTATTCGATCGCCACTCACTTAATCAATCGAGTGCCATCTCCTGTTTTATAAAACCGAACTCCGTATGAGCTTTTATTCAATAAAATCCCTTCCTATGACCTTCTAAAGGTCTTTAGGTGTCTTTGCTTCTCTTCTACCCTTTCTCATATCAAAAAAAATTTAATTCCAGTGTCTAGATAATGTGTTTTCATTGGTTACCCTAATGGTATGAAAGGCTATAAACTATATGATCCGATTTCTCATTCCGTGTTTGTATCAAGAGATGTTGTTTTTCATGAATGTGTTTTTCCCTTTACTATTAAACATCCAGACCTCGTCCAATCCTTGTTCAACTCATACTCCCGATTTTCCTATATCTTTGCCTCGGTTCGATCTTGGGTCCGATTTCTTAGATAGTCATCCTTGTCTTGATTCAACTAATTCTTCTTCTTCGAGTCCAAAATGTTGCATTACTCGTTGAACATGTTACAACAATATCTCACTCTTCTCCCGATATGCTTGATTCTGTTCCTATTTCTCCTTTAGCTAATAATGTATCCACTCATGTCATTCCTACTCGCAAGAGCGATAGAATCGGAAAACCTCCTTCTTACTCGTCGGCATATCGTACCAGCATTGCATCCGATCCATCCCCTTCTTCGTCTCCGGCTTGTTCCACTTTGTATCCTATACACCATTATAGTTCCTCGGCTAAATTGTCACCCACACACACAACTTTTGTCTCAGCCTTGTCCGCTTCTCGATGAACCACAAACCTTCAACCAAGATGTCCAATTTGCTCATTGGAGAGATGCTATGAAAGCCGAATTAGATGATCTTGAGTTGAATGACACATGGACTATTGTTTCTCTTCCTCCCGGTCATCACGAGTGTAGGTTGTAAGTGGGTTTACAAGGTCAAGCTCCATGCCGATGGTTCTCTAGATAAGTACAAAGCCAAGTTAGTGGCTAAAGGTTATAGTCGGCAAGCTGGTTGTGATTTCCAAGAGACTTTCAGCCTCGTAGTGAAGCAAACCACAGCTTGGGTCTTCCTTGCATTGGCAGCCTCTCAAGGCTGGTCTTTATCCCAAATGGATGTCAACAATGCATTCCTTAATGGTGATTTGGAAGAGACAGGCTATATGGATGTTCCTTTGAGTTATTAAGTCAAGGGGTAGTATGTATATCCTGTTTGTCAACTCGTAAGTCTTTATATGGGCTAAAGCAAGCATCAAGGTAGTGGAACTCCAAATTCACTCAAGCCTCGATCTCTTTTAGTTTTGAACGAGTCCATGTCGGATTATTTCCTATTCACCAAAAGGGTTTCTCATAACATTTTTCTTGCTTTACTTGTCTATGTTGATGACATAGTGATTGCGAGTAACAATGATGCTCGTCTGTGATGAATTCAAGCAATTCTTGCATTCTCAATTCAAAATGAAAGACACGGGAAAGTTGAAGTATTTTTGGGAGTTGAGGTTGCAAGGTCCGACAAAGGGATTGTATTATGTCAAATGAAGTATGTACTTGATCTCTTAGCTAAGAATGGTCCGATGGGTGCTAAACCAGCCACAACTCCGGTGGATCCTACTCGAAACTCATCCGGGAAGATATTGAGTTTCTTGAGAATCCAATGGTGTACGGACAACTTGTTGGGATCTTCTCTATCTTAACTTCACCGAGCCGGACATTTCATTTGCAACACGAGTGCTATCACAATACATGGACAAACCAACTCAATCACACCTCCAAGTAGCTTTTCGAGTTCTCGGATATTTGAAGTAGTCACTCGGTAAAGGATTAATCTTTTCTTCCAAATCGATCGTCAACCGGTTAGCTACTGTGATGATGGATCGGATCGGTTGTAGGGATATAAAGAGATCTATAACTCGGTTATTCCATCTTTCTTGGGAGTTCCTTTATTAGTTAGAAATCTAAGAAGCAAACTGTGGTGGCTAGGAGTTCGACCGAGGTCGAGTATAGGGCTATGGCCACTACTTGTTGTGAAATTGTGTGGTTATTGAGTTTACTTGCAGGTTTGGGATTCCAACACCAAAAGTTAGTTCCCCTTAAGTGTGATAACCAATCCGCAATTCACATAAGCCAAAACCCCGTGCTCCATGAGAGGACCAAACATATCGAAATGGACTCGCTACTTTATTAGGGAAAAGATCACCGCATGAGTGCTTGAAGCCGCAGTATGTTTCTTCGGTTAATCAACTGCGGACCTCTTTACCAAAGATCTCCAGCCCTCTCAATTTCGGTTTCTTGTAAGCAAGATGAGCATGATTGATATTCATGCTCCTCTCGAGGGGAGTATCAAAGTTAGCTACCGAGGATCACAAGAAGCACATTGCTATTGCAGAGTTTGTGACTCGCAGGACTTGTGCTTATACCACGTTCCACGGAAAGATTAACCACGTGGATGCCGACTCTCCATAACGACTAAGTTAGTCACGTGGGTGCCGACTCATTTAACAACAATTTGTTATTAATTGGTTAATGGTTGTTAAGAGTTAGTTTGAGTCCGTTAGTCAAGTAGTTAGTCGGTTAGCTTAACCTTCGACGAGATAGCATATATAAATGGGTGTGTTCTACGGCTAAGAGAGAGAGAGAGAGAGAGAGAAACCATATGTTCTAATCGTGAGTGCCTTGAATCAATCTCAATTGTAATTTTTTTCTCTTGTGGAATAAAGGAAGTAGCCCATTTATTTCAAAGGCCAACGCCGGCCAAACTATATATATAAAAAAAATTTAAATTAAAAAAAAAGTATCGTAGCAATGAACAGTTATTATTAACACTCGTTCATAGCTACAATGAAAGCCCTTTTTTCTTTAGTATGTAGTATAATGAGTAGTAATTCAAACAGTAAAAAGACTTATTTTTTTAGTTTGATTGTTAATTGTTAACGCTATCACTAGAAAGAAAAAAGAATGATGCACACAAGTACATTCACGAGTAACAATAAGTCCGAATGAGCGAGTTACTCAAACGGTGAAAAGACTTATTCTTTTAGTTTGATTGTTAATTGTTAACGCTATCACGAGAAAGAAAAAAGAGTGATGCACAATACATCCACGAGTAACAATGAGTCCGAATGACCAGCTTACTCAAATAATGAAAAGGTTTATTCTTTTAGTTTGATTGTTAATTATATTATTAGGATTTTTAATTTTAAAATTATCGATCCATTCACAAACCAAAATTTCAAAACATGAAATCATTGAATGTGCTTTTTTCTATTTTCAAATACACACACGTTAAAGTCATTTATGATTCGAACTTTTAAATCTTACGAATTTAGATATAAGTGTTTTTTCCTAACCTGGAAACGTCTTGAGCCCACACAAATAAAACTACAGATGACATGAACGTGGAGATACAAAACACCTTTTATACCTTTAAACAATAAGTTGGATGATGATGATGAAAAGCCAGTTTAGAAACCTTAGATTCGGCTTTACATCTCTTGATTCAACGATCTAAATATATTAAAAATAGAAAGTGTTGTATTCAATATTTGTATATTTTAAAAACTTCTGACCAGAATTTTCTTATTTATTTTATGGCACGTTGATTTTTTTTATTTTTAATCAGATTCGAAATCCAAACTAAATTTTCTTCTTCAATAGAATACTCATTTTAAAAGCAAGCTAAGACCTCTAAGGCGGATAATGGACCCAATTCACTCAACACTGAGAGATCTGACAAGAATTCAAGAGAAAATATATTTGTAAAAAATAAGAAATTTATTCAATAAGAAATATATTTGGTAAAAAAAGAAGAAGAAGAAAAATGAAATGAGAATAAAAGTCTTATTAAAATTATTTGGTGAAAAAAATGTAAAAGAATGAAAAAATCAAATTGAACTGGATCTAGTTGATCAAAAAAAAACAAAAAAAGGCATTGATTTTGATTTTCCACAAAGACACTTGAGCCGGCACTCGAAATTATTTGTTGAAGGAATATGACCTAACTCAAATACCACAGGGACTGATCGAGGATGATTTTTAGCCCAATTCAAAAGGCTTCATATTTTTTCTTTTTCGAGGATGAGCATTGATTGAGCAGTAACCAGAATTAGATGGGTCGGGCTTCACTACAAGAAATCGGGCGTTTACAGATAGAAAATTTGAGACTCTTTGGGCTTGCGTCATAAGTTCGAACCAGGCCCATAGAATTAAGAAAATTTGCGTCAAAACAGTGACTCATATGTGGCCTTCAAATAGAGACCCGAAAAGTGTCTTAAGGTCGCAATAAAAAAAAAAAAATGTGTCTTAAGGTAGTAAACACGCTGCCACTCATTTGACTCTATCTAGGGCTATGATTTAATTGATTGGGGATTCTGAACAATGGCATCATGGCTCAGAGTCAAAGAAAGTTAACCTCTCATCCTCTTTTTCGTTACTTTCTCCTTCTTCAATTTGATTTTCACGAGCACTTTTTTTTTTTTGTATTTCTATTCTGACCTGCAATTTATTATTAATTATATATGGACAATGAGAACAGACAGAAGTGCACAATTTCGTGCTTTTGTTTGTTGTTGAGCTTGTAGAGCAAGAAAGTCTTGAGGTTTGCTTTTAACTTGGCTGACTAAGAGAGACGACAACAGCTATGGAATATTTTCGATTTGTTTTGTCAATTTCCTGATGGTATATTACTTTTCATTTTTCAACATAGATTGGGGGAAGCCAGTGGCTTAGTTAATTCATTAGCTAAATAGAGGGTTGCTAAGAACTCTCAAGTTTGTGGCAGGATCCACTGGCTAGCTACTTAGCTAGTCATCTTCTTCTTACTAGCCTGCATTAATTAGACATAACCCTTTTCTGGATATCATACAGCCATTGAAGAGGTAACTACTCATCCATGCCAAGGAGGCTGGTAATCATTGTCAGTCAGCATCACACCCCATTAAAAAAGTCACATTCATCAACTACCATGGCCTTTAACAGTCCTTCCATTACCATAGATGTAGGCCCATGCATGCATGAAATTACCTTTTCAACTGATGACAAGCCAAAACTCCCTGAGTCAGCTAAGATGTGCATACTTGTTGAAGTAAGCCAAATTCATTTTTAATAATTTCTCAAGCATTGTTTCAATTTGATGGGGAAGATCACCATTCTTTCTGCTCTGCTGCTGCGCTGTCAATCTGAACGCTGTTTTGGCTTTCAATTTGGAAGGATTTCAAACGAATTTTAGGATTAGATCGAGCTTTAAATAAATGTGACTCATTGTCCCTGAAAAATTAGTTAGCGATTAGAAATTGGACTACAAAATCACAAAATCCATGTGGAAGAAGTAAAAATGCTAAAAGAGCTTATTCTGTTACATATTACCTCACTGGTGCCCCCATCTCCAGTATATGTGACAAGACATGCATCCTTTTTGTTCATATTAAGAGAATAAGCAATTCCTACAGACTGAGGAAAGCTGAGACCTGACTGGCAGCACAAATGGTAATCAAGAACATTTGATTGTATTACAAACGTAACAATGATTAACAAGAAGAGAACAAATAAGAGAGATATGTGCAATTGCTTCTTAGGCCCACAATGCATGGGCATCTGCCTGCCTTTCCCGCAATCATCCTTGTTTCCAAAGCATTGGTTGGCAAATTCTTGAATTATGAAACCACGACAAAGTAGAATCCCAGGTTCTTGGAATTGACATTATATCATATGGATCAAAGTCTTGCTTTTAATACGAATGACTTAACAATTTGGCCTGACACTGGAAATTTAAACATCTAATGTAACAAATGCTG